CCGTGATTGAAACATCACGTGCACCTTATTTTCAGTCACCGAGAGTTACTCCGACGCACTTGTTAAGTTCGTTTCTCGCGACCACCGCCAGGGTATTATTTCCAGCTTCTGGTTGTGCCATATTTGAATTTGTGAAGACGCCCTGGAACACGCCCAACCCCCTTTCGGCCAATGGCGCCTCCTCATTTGTGTCCTATACTTCCCAATGAGTAGCCAAACTCTCTACATATACGGCTCTGGCATAGGCAACACGCAAATTGCTCATCCATTCTTCGCACGAGGAACTCTGGTCCACATCTATGGGTGCTTCGTAGACATCGCTTGGTTTACGGCTAATTTTCTTGCGGAAATCCTCCGTAGCCTCCAACTGTTTTCGCTTAACGTAGGTCGTGCTAATGGTAGGTCTTACGTTAGATGGAAGTTTCAATGGAGTGACAATCACTTCTCCTGCATCGATTGCCTCAGTCACGTCTTGTAGCAGAAATTCCTCGTCGTTGAATGACGTGTCCACTAGTGGGAGAGATGGCTAGGATGAGGTCGATGATGGCGTTTTACAGCGAAGCTGTTTATGGCTAGGGTTTCGTGGATTTTTCGAGTGCAGCGACTAAAAACTATAACGCTTGCACCGCCACACACGCCCGTACGCGCACGCCTTCCCCGTATAAAAAATTCGAAGCAAATAACCCAAATAAAGCATTGACGAACGCGCGTGCAAGATGCCATATGTTTTAGGCTTTTGCTTTAGAACAGTTATCGTTGCAGACGCCGGCACCTGCGGCGCGTAGAACACCATTCCCTGTATTCTCCTTGATGCTTGGGTAATTTAGCAATAGGTCTATTCAGTACATTAGTTATCAATAGGCCCCATAAATTTCAAGATCAGTAGACTTTCAGGTAGATAATAAAGGTTTCTCAAAGATTTGCCGCAGTGCGACCCGCGACGGTCATGTATCGCTCGCACCGCCCTCTCTTTGTCGACGTTCCAAGCCGCTTGCGTGCCTAGTTTCCTTTCCTTCCGCTCTACCGGGGTGGCGGTCCCGTCGTGCGTGTCTAGTTTTCTCCGGCTCTTCGGGGCGGGTCTGTGTCGTGTGCTAAACAGCTTTGCTAGTCATCCACCTTCACGGTTTGGAATGGCTTATGATTGTTTTTTTGTTCTCGGTGAAGTTCTTTAATGTCGCTACGAAATCTCTTGAAGCAATTAATGCAGAGCGCATCTTCAGAGCTTACAAGCTCGGCGCCCTCAGCTGGCAGCACCCGTTTCAGCAACCCGATGCTCAGCTGTGAAACCTTATGTACAAAGCACCCGCAATCGATTTTGCTTTTGTGTCTCGTTAGTTAATCGGCACAAATTAGTCGGTGTGTACTGAATTTGTCAGTCATGGCTCTGCACTTCTGGCTTTTATGAAACACGGGGTCAGGTTTCGTTCACGCCGAATTTGGGAAACAGAGCAACGAATAGAAATTCGAGCTGCTCAGTTTTATGCGCGAGAAGGCAACCCAGGCGTAACATACCTCGAGGTCCATATGGAGAGGAGCATTGAAAGTAGTTACCAAAGTATTTGTAGTTACTCAAGCTCCCTTTCTCCCCTCACCTTTTCCACAAGAACACGTCAGCCGGCGCTAACTTTTCATCGCAGGAGCAGACCAGCCCTCACAAACGGTTATCGTTAACAGGGAGTCAGACTTCGACGCAACTAGTCTCCGTGCTTAAACAACCGGAAAGAATAAACACGAAAACGGGACGAAAACTGACATGTTTATTCTTTCCGCTTGTTTAAGTACGTTTACCAACACGCTCGTCTTTAATGTTAGTCCCCGTGCTTTGCTGTTTTCAAACGAGATTACCCTTCGGTGCAATCGAATCCTCGCGGATAAAGCAGATAGAACAGGGCCGTTTCAGGGATAAGGTCGGCTGGTTTCTCTGCCATGATCGGTCGGCCCAGGTTGCCCGGACTGTGCATTGTTGTTTCCTCAAGGAGTAAACCCATGGGGCGAATCAGAGGCTCCTGACTGGTCTTTCATGAACCACGACAAACGGGCCCCCTTTCGACAACTAAGCGGCGGCTTCTTTTCTGACCCCACACATTCCCTTGATATATACGCGGTAGAGGGAGCAGGGGGCGCTCGAAGCTTGGACAAATACGCTGCATCGTTTCACGGGTGCACGGATGGCTGGATCCAAGATTTACTCACATTCCTATCGGAACCGGCCCATCTTCGTGTGTGTGTCTGCAGGATTGTTTTCCTGCGCTGCCGGTTTTAGCGCGCACACGGCGTTGTTTTTGCTGGCAGAACCGTTGTTGACCGCCGATAGTTTAAAGCCGTGGTTTCGTCATCCTCCTGGGCAAGCGTTCCTTTGCTTTCCCTTCTGCAATACTCTGACCGACTGACCCCTCCTGGGTGGCCGTCACTGTTCGCCGCGTCAACGCCACATTCCTGTCATTTCACTCCTCGTGACACAGGGTTCGCTGCTGGCTTTACTGTCACGGGCCGTCTTATCTCACAACGAGCACGAAAGGTCGTGGTCATCTGCTAGCTCCGAAAGAGCGGGACGTTCATATAGGCCAATCAATACGACGTCCTGCCGATTTCTACACATTTTTTATTTACGACGCCTGTGCTTTCTATTTTGAACTGCTCCAATGTAGCTTGCCGCCTATGATAAAATTTAAATGAGCAATAAATAAACAACGGGGAACTCCTTTATTTTTATCTGAGAACGTTGAAAAAGGCAAGAATATTTCTTTTTTCGAAATTTGTAAAGACGCGCAATTGGTTAAGTCCGTTTCGAGCCATACAAACACGTTTTTCTACGACATTGTGGCTTAAAGGGATGCTGAGCAAAACATTTCAGTGTCTATATTAAGTGGCGCACTATCTTTCATTGAGCCAGCAGCCGCCGGTGTGCGCGAGCACACGAAACTAAATTGACGTCATCATATTCCCCATTCACGCTTAATAAGCGTGAATGGGGGATTATATTGACGTCAATTTTGTTGCGTGTGCTCGCGCACACCGGCGGCTCATGGAAAGATAGTGCGCCACTTAATATAGACACTGAAATCTTTGGTTCGGCCTACCTTTAAATATAGAACACACAAAAGACAGTCTGACACTTTATCGACTTGTTCTTCAAGTAGAAAACTTTATCATATCTAAATATTAGTAAAAAAAAATATTATAAATGGGTTTTCTGAGAAAGTTGAGCTCAAAGATTATACTTTTTACTTTTTGCATAATATTAACGTCAACGTACCGCAAAGGTAATTTTACACAGATAAGCGATTTTATCAGATATATAAAGAGCGTGTTTCGGGCTCTCCATCGAAATAAAAATTGTCCATTTAACCCAAGTGGATCACAAGTATCTAATTGTCAAAATCCTTCAACAATTAACCGAAGGAGCGTTTTTGACATTTTTAAGGGAAATAAAAAAAACAGGCCTAAAATTATGTCATGGCATTAGAGCCTTTTAACTCTACTCACACAGTGGTTAAAACAAGTTAATATAATGTGGACTGAACATCCACGGCTGGAGATTGTGAAACATACGACCCACGACGGATGTGAAAAACACTGCGTTCCGTCGCGGCCTTCTTTAGGCTTCATAAGTCGAGAACAAAAAATGCGATGAACTTGCGGTTTGTGGAAACTGTAATTTTGTTGACGACGCCTAACATCAATTTTTTCCAGCAAAATCATAATTTCAACCTTTTTTGCCTGCACGATTTGAGATAGAATCCCCCCATATATATATATATACATACATATATATATATATATATATATATATATATATATATATATATATATATATATATATATATATATATATATATATATATATATATATATATATATATATATATATATATATATATATATATATATCCAACAATACTATCTAAGACGTCGTTCTTTCTTCTCTTTTTTCTCTCCCCTCTAAAACTAGGTATCAGTGACGAAGACGAGTCCTCCCGAATGACTCTGGTACCAACGTTTCTGGTACAGCGTTCATCTTTTTTTTTTTTTTAAGCAACACGACCGCTAATGTTCTTTCGCTCATGACGAACTGTGGATATCGTCGAGCCACCAAGAAAAAGTTTTCAAAAAGTGTACAATTTCACCTTTCGCTCCACGAAGCATTAGTCTGGCTGTAATCCCCCTAAAATGTTCTCAGTTTAGATAATCTGCTCATGTTTCTTATTTACTTGTGTCGGTCAGAATAAGCTCAAATTAGCACTTCATAAGAGACTCACAATACACGATTTCGAAAATATGTGGCGCCCACACCGCCTGCTTGACGCATTAGAGCCAGGGTCGCACTGCTCTAATGCCCGTGTCCCACTAGAGCGACAGACAGAAACAAACGACAGAGACAAGCCTCAAACCAGAGTCTTTCCCGATTTGAGAGGCTTTGTAGAATAAAGGAGGCTATGCTCAGGGTATCTGAGCATAGCCTTCCAAAGAGGGTATCTTTGGAAGACTTGCAATCCCTCGCGCTTACTTCACGCGCACCGAACGACTAAACGCCTTGCAAAGGTACCATCGCGAGTATGCTGCATAGGTTTGAGGCTTGTCGCTGTCTTTTGTTTCTGCCTGTCGCTCTAGTGGGACTCGGGCATTATAGATCATACAAAAGACAGTCTGCAAATACGAGCCACCGCAACATCCGCGGTTCGAATGCCGCGTGCCACGTGTTCTCCTTGAATTCACTGCCATATGCAGCATTCGAAGCACTGATCTCGCGGTGACTCGCGTTCGAACCTGTTCGCAGACTGACTGGACATTACATTACACTATATTATTCCTCGATGAAACTAGACAAACGTTCCTCCGAAATATCGTCAGTCTATTTTGATCGTAAATGTTTCTGTTCAAACTTTATTTTCCAAAACTACATTTGAAGCTTAATAACGGCGCCATGCAATTGCTGACATGGCAAAGGAAGTGCGGTTGTCTAGAGGAAACGGATGTGAGGGGACAAGACACTCACCTGGACGTGAACAGTAAGTTTGCCACAGTTCTTCGTCATGACCTCGATTTTCTGCACAGAAACAAACGCAAGTTAGACGAGATCGCATACGGAAACGTCAAAGGATATTACGATAATTTGTGCATGTATAACACTTGAATGAACAAGTCAGCACCAACCACAAATTAACGTTTCGTTTTGCCTTGCGAATCGGTAACTATACGCTTCTTTAGACAACCAGAATTAGGGCCTTTCGAATTCGATATTAAAAAATAAAATGTAAGATCATTCCGTAATATCATTAAGGAACACTCCGTCACATGAAATGTTCCTCTAAGCCGTGGGACGTACTCTCGTCATACCTTTACCCCCAGAGGTTTGTTCTTTTTTTTTTTTTTTTTTTTTTTTTTTTTTTTTAATTACAAGTAGTTTTAACAAAGGGAAGGCTGATATTAACAAGCGTCTCATCTGGTAGACGTTTACGCCCGTGACAGACATGTCGGTAGGCTCGCAATGTGATGACCGCCAAATTATGAAATAATTTAATTACAATAATTTTTGTTTCGAGTGTTAATTTTTGCTAGAACGACCCAATTATAAATGTGTAGGGCGCCGACCTAACCCACATTCATTGTTCAATTTTAAATAAAGTTTTGTTTTACGCTATTTACCGGGGAAACGGCGACGGAAATCATTTCCTTAGTTTAACTAAATTCTGCTCAAAATGAATGCAAAACGTTCATGTGTAGTTGAGTAGAAACAAACGGCCAGTGTCTTCCTCGGTCGTGTTTGACCTATCGTATATAAGCATGGTCAGGTGTGCACAATTTACTTCGATATGAAAAAAGCATTTTATAATGTTGACCATCAAATACCTTGCCTAAAATATAATATATCGATTATGCACATTGTGGTGTGCATGGTTCGAGAGTTACCATGGAAATCGTCAGTATCAGGTTAGGTTTTTGAACTGCATCTCTATGCAGGGTGTCGCAAGGTTCTAACTGGAACCTTCTTGTTTCTGGTATTTGTAAACCATCTACTCTCCACCATAATAGCTCAGAAATGCTAATGTTTGCCGGTGACTTTGGACTGTTCCGCAAGAAAGAAGATGTGGATGACTGAATTCCGTACAAATTGACGTCCATTCCGTTTAGCAATAGTGCACGACGAATAGGGTCCAATGGTCTTGTTATTAAGAAACTTCGTTTGAGTCAACCATTTAATCACTCAGACATCCAACCAGAAGACTATACATACAAGGCCAAAAACATTGTGTTCCAACCGTCCCACGCACATCGTCCTCGTCGTTTTCATATCAGTCCCAGCTCGCGCAACAACACAGCAGCTCAACGGTGCGCCTTTTAGTGGCAGCACCGATTACAATCAGATGCACGCGCGATCAATACAGGAAAGTAAAAGGGCCTGGCGATACGACACCGTGAACATAAGTCATCCTCTGATACAACAAACGGAACCTAAAAAATGCGGTAGTATTATCCTTTAATGAGAAGAGAGAGACCATAGCCTTCGACTATGCCCTCTTCGATTAACAGAAAAATAGTGACACCTTCACGTGCAAAATGCGTTTTTGTCGAGTCCGGACTGGATTCTGGCTTACACATTACTCGAATTCCTAACCAGGGTCTGTCCGGGTGTAATTTCACGGCTGACAATAACATTTCGTCGCTCTGAGTATATTTTGAACCTCTACTGTATACTTGAGAGATCGCGCCTTGAATAGACCGATCTCACCAAGCGTTCGACGCATGCTCGAGGCAGCCATAACTTTAGTTCACAGGAGGCAATCGGCAGTGCACGAGACTGTTCGTGCCCTGCAGGCGCTGAGCTCCAACGAAGTTGTCGCACGTGCAGAAAGACTAAAGTTCCCTCGATGCATTGCGGCAGCGGTGGCGTAGTCAAACTGGCTGGTGAGATCGGTCTATTGGCGTCAGTTGTATATAGTTCTCTGCCTCGATGTCACACAGTAAATTAATTGAAAATGTACAGCGTGAGTTTATACAAATTTCATATGAAAGATACATTGGCCGCCGTCGATTTTACAACTACGATTCTCTACAGGTAGAACTCGGTATTTTGTCGCTGCATAGCAGAAAAATGGCGATAGACATGCAGAGGCATTTGGTGCATTTTCTGCACCAAGTTGCGCGTGGTTCTGTTGATTGTGCGGAGTTGTTGATGGCGCTGAGGTTTCGTGTATCCTCTGGGCTGACCTCCAAGTGCCAGGACAGACGTGCAGTGGGCACCAATTCGAGCTGGCTCGTTGGAACGCCGGTCGGAGCGACAAAAATTTCCCATGGGGCACCCCTCAAGCTATAAGCTGTTGGAAGAGAGGCTGGAATGAACTGGCCGCGATTTCATGTCGGGGGAGGGAGGATGTTTCTACCGGTAATTATCGTGCATTGGTGGTGAACTTCATTCATCGTTCACACTGTCGATTGTGAATTTGACCAAACATAGTGGAATGCCGCTCGTGTTGTTTTACAGCGAAGCTGTACATGACTCACAGGTCGGATTTCTGGAATTTCTTCGTGTCGACATCCTCATAGAAAAAAGTGAAAGCCGTTTACAACTTCCTGTAACGCCGAATTGGAGCGCAGCTCTTGAGGAGGAGGAGTGGAGGGTATATTCCTCCTCCTCCCTCGTGATCATGCCTGTTAGTCCTCCTCCCCTCCTGCTCCCCCTCCCTCTTCTTTACCACCTTTACCGGGCGGGGGAGGAGGGGGGAGGAGGAGGAGCGGAGGGGGAGGAGGAGGAGGGGGAGGGGCGACGCCGACGCCGACGCCAACGCCGACGCCGCGCAGGCTGGAAACGGGTCATGTGACGCCCTCCCCTCGAGGTCACGTGACCCGCCCGGACCATACTACACAATGAGGGGAGGAGGAGGAGAAGGAGGGGGAGGAGGAGGAGGGGGAGGAGGAGGAGGGGAGGAGGGGGGAGGAGGAGGAGAGGGAGGGGCGCGGTTACGCCGACGGCGACGCCGACGCCGCTCAGGCTGGAAACGGGCCCCTAAGAGCTGCGCTCTAAAACCCCTTCAGCGACGGAAGCGAAAAGTGCCTATCAGGCATACAACACACAGCACAGCATTCCCTTCAATAAAGAACAAGCACAAAACAAGTATCCGAACCAAATAATTGATGATAAGTCGCTCCTGATAACGATGCGGAGCATGTAGCGCTCACTGCATACGTTTCTCGGTAAAGGTTATTGGGCAGTTTGATACTTTAGACCAGTGGTTCTCAAATGGTGGTCCGCGAACCCTTTGGGGTCCGCGAAGGCATTCTAGGGATCCGCGAAGCCCAGCGTCATCAGTCAAGCCCGGCAATAAAAGTTGTACTTTCTCAGATTGAGAGGAAACGTTCCAATCTTCCGGTGAGTTGTCTCGTGTATATGTCAATGAAGCGAGTCTACTTCACACTACCCCTTACATACATCCATTTATTAAATCCCTATCGTAATTATCCTACACTTTTTTCTTCCCCTCACCATGACTGGTGTCCTGCATCATCTCCGCCGATCCACAAGGGGTCCGCGAAACATCAATGCTAGAGAACCACTGCGCTAGACCATTGTTACGGATATATATATATATATAAAAAGCAGGGCGCGGGATGGCCAAAAAAAAACACGCTTTTTGTGTAAGGCCCGTCATATTATGAGGCGCTAGAGAAAACCAGCTTTCTGCGTGAAGTGCTTATTTCAAGCTCTTTTTGTTCCCGTTCCGCCCATTGAAAAGCATGCGGGAAGCGCCTCAGCACGCACCTCGTATCGCTGCGCCCAGTCTTCTTCCGCAGCAAAAAGGCCGTCTGCTTTCATCGCCATCACCATGGCAACGAACTTCCAGCGCCTCATAATTTGACAAGCCTTACACGAAAGCATGTCCTGAGATCGGAGTTTGGAGATAGATTTTTTTACAACATCGGTCTAAATTATCAATCTGCCGATAATTAATGCGTAAGCTGCCGCGGCGACGGCAGCTTGCCACATGAGAAGTGACGTCACTAGCCTTTCATATATATAAAAAAAGGTCTTGGTACAGTGCATTTACTTCTTTCGTCGATCATTTGGTATAGACCCTTTAGCTGTTAACAAAGATGAACTGCCGCTTGCGTCCCAAGCGACCTCCGGTCGCACCGTCTTTGCAAGCATCTTGAGCTTGCTTACGTCACCAGTGCTAGAAAGCAAAAATGCTACAGGGACAACAAAGTTGGAGATTTAACGAGGGCCTTCGTCTGTACAATATTACATGTCGGAGGAGGCAAGTTGGTTTACAAGTATACTCGAAACAGTTTAACAGATCTCGCACTCCCTCGTTCTTTGGGCGTTCAGCTGGAGAATTGGTGGTTAAACGTTTCATATACATTTCAAGCACCGGTGTTATGGCGGCCTTTATTAATTGTTTTTTTATAAACCGGAAGTTCTCTGGGACATCAAAGCATGGAGCACCGCCTGGTGGCGTTTGCAAAAAAAAAAAAAAAAAAGAAGAATTCTATAGTGGAGTGGGCAGTCGTTGCAGGTGATACCACAGCGTCGCTGTCCAACCATCTTCGCAGCGTGGATTGGAGCCTTAATTTTTTTTCTCGACTAGTTTTGCTAGGTAGCAACACCCTCCCTCCTCCTAGGCGTGAAATTGCGGCAGCCCGTGCCGGCCTCGCTCCCCACAGCGTATCATATCAGGGACGCCCCATGCGGGATTTTCACAGCTCTGGCCGGCGTTCTGTCGAGTCAGCTCATATTGATGCCCACTGAACAATGCCAGGTTTATTGAAAAAGACGTTTTCGCTTAATTTTGTTGTTCTGCATCGTCTGCTTTCATACGTGTTTTTACAGGACGGTGCACTGCTGCCCAGACCACTCGGCCCGTTAGCAGGCACTTAAATAAATCCATCTATACGCGTTTTCACCTCAAGCAAAACGCACGTTTACCACATTGTTCATACGCGGTACGAAGTAGCTCTTACGAGATTTGGTTATCGGAGGAAAAAGCGATGCTTTTGGAGTTTGGAACGTGTGCGTTTTGATAAGATAACATATATCTAATCTCAAATTCA